GACGTGCGGGCGCGCCAACCACACCCTTCCAATTTGCTAATTCCCAGAGAGGTGCGCGGTTTAGGCGCGCTCTCTGCGCGGCCGCGCCTATCTTGCGCGGGCGCTCTTCATGGGCGCGAGCGCGCAACCATCAACACGCTAAATATCTAACACTAAGTAAGTACGATCTGTTGGCATTCATTAGTCATGAAATAAACCAACAGCATAGACAAATAATGGTCATTAAGGTTAGGATCAAAACGATCAAATATACACACATAAGGCACGTAGTCATAGTGATGCAATGAAGTTCGCAACCTATGGTCAAGTTCTATGTTCCACTATGGTCAGGTTTATTTGGTGTCAAAAGGGTACCATGGTTAAGAGTTTGGACGAGTTAGCAAGGCAGCCTCCCTTGAGGGTGTATGCCAACGGGCGGCTCCGCAAGTTTGTGATTAAATCGAATTCGACTCAAAAGTTTGGGTGGATTTAATAACTCGGATGAACCCTTATTCTCATGAACGTTTTCGGGTTGATAGAGCTTAAATCCCCTAGGGCTAAAATGTATGTAGAACACATACGGTTATTCAGAAAAATCGAAGGAGGCTAACAACGAGAAAAAAGTTGAACCGCAGAAAAAATTTCAAGACTGCCGCGCTCCGGCAAGAATTGTCGTGCCACGGTAAAAATCGCCGCATCACGACAAACTCTGCCGTGTCACAGCAACTCTGCCGTGCCACGGTGACAAGCGCACATTAGGGCGCGCTGTAAGGCATATAAATGGGTGATTTTGGATGTATTTAGGCCCGTTTTGGTCGTTTATTGCCTTGTTACACTCGTTTCCTTCATATTACGTGCTTCACGGGTTTCGGTCTGTTTTTGGTGTGTTAACAGGTATAGTTGACCAAGTTATGTCGAGTCCCAAACCATTGGTGCGTAATCAGGCTATTATCGATCCTAGTCCACCAAGCTAAGACTTTGTTGCGGTTCTCAAGGCCTTGAAAGGCAAGTTAAGTAGCAGGCAAGGCAGAACAGTTCACAAATATGACACCTGTTCACTATTTTGCTCATAACTTTCGGTATACAATTGATATTGGAGTGATTCTAATTGCATTGGAAAGTAGACTTGACAAGCTTTCCAACGATATATTGCACGCCTCAAACGGAGCTCTAGATAAGAAGTTGTGACTATTTTAAGAAGACCAAAGTGCCTGCAACCTTCCTGCCTATGCTTGCACGGTCGTGCCAGGCATTAGCACGGCAGTGCCCAATTCAGCACGGCCGTGCCATTTTCCAGATTCAGCACGACCGTGCCAGGCATTAGCACGGCAGTGCCAGGCATTAGCACGGTCGTGCCAAATTCAGCACGGCCGTGCCATTTTCCAGATTCAGCACGGCCGTGCCAAATTCAGCACGGTCGTGCCAAAATTGAATATATTGCGGATCAGCTACTGACATGCTTGCACGGCCGTGCCACTTCTAGCACGGCTGTGCTGATTTACGAAGGGCAGCCTGCGCAATTGCTTTCTAAATTAAAACATATATATATATATATAACCCTATTGTGAGGGTTAAGAGGGAGATTTAGAGACAGTTTTAGAGATAGTTTTTGAGAGCCTTTGTAGAGAGTTATTGGAGAACGTTCTTAGTATTAGAGATTCATTAGTTTTCTTAGAGATTATTCTAGCGATTTTAGTTTTCTTGGATTGATTTGAAGCAAGATTTGTGAAGATTCTTTGTATTATTCATTGACGACGGATATCAAAAATATGAACTTTTCCATTGATTCGCATCAATACAATTGGTATTATTCATTCTTGTTTATTAATCAAGCTTTATTATTCCTTAATCAGAATTCATGTTTATATCTATTATGCTTTTGGAATTCATTATTGCTTTGATTATGAATATGTGTGAGTAGTCTCCTAGCTAGGGTTTCGGGATGAAACCCGGCCTAGGTAACCTATGTAATTGAGGATTGATTTTGATAAACGGATTGTGATTAAATTGATTATATGCGATTTCATGTTAATTCATTATAATAGGAGTAGCTAACCTAGAATCTTGAATTTGATTGCATGATATCCTTGATTTGAACAAGAGATTGTGAATTGAGTATTTCATTGTTGAATGTGGTTTGATTATGTATCGAGTAATGTTAAGTGCATGAGAAATCCAAGCTTAATAATGCCCGTTGTCTTCCTACCTTATGATATTGATCAGACATATAGTCTTTGCATATCCCGTTTGTCTCTGTGATTCCTTGTTGCGTAGTTACCGATGGTTTGGTGAATTCCCGTCTTCCCTAGTGTCTTAGTTTATCTGGTTTATCCCATCTTATTAGCAGTATTTTAGAACACCATTTTCCATTGATTTCGAACTAGCTTAGGTTTAAGATTGATTTGCAATTACTCTCGTTCCTTGTGGACCGAACCTTTATTTGCCATTGTACTTGGTTATAGGGTGTTCGTATAAGTATTGTTTGATTGAGAGTTAGATTGTAGCGACCGATTTAACCCTCGTCACACGGCAGTTCTGCCGTTGCGCGGTAATTAAGAAATTTAATCGGTGCCTCTGTTTTTTCGATCGCGATCAAGTTATTCAATTTTTCCTACGAGGCGAACCTAAATACGACGCTAAAATGTCAATGCATATGCAAAAAAAGCCAAATTAATCACAGGAATATGATTCAAGAATCTTTCAAGTCTCATCCACTCATCTTAATTAAATACCGATCACTCAAATCGATAAGTAACTAAGAATCCTGCCCAGAAGAGTCGCCAAATTGTAGTCGTCATTCGAAGCGCGCGCCTATTTAAGCATGTTGTGAATATTCTTTGCACTCATAGGAAGTGGGAATTGACATGCGATTAGGGACACGATTAGGGAAAAAGCAAAGTAGGGAGCCGCCAACAAGTTTTTAAGGAACTTGTAAACCGTTCACGGATCATTTAAGGAAACCACGATAAAGGGACAACGATATGCAATAACGATTGACCCGTGAAGGTTACACCCCATTCATAATCCATGAGATTACTAACTCCATATCGTTCGGAACCACAAAAGGAGGATCGGGGATGATGGTACGAAGTGAGTCATGGATTCACATTTGCCCATATTGACCTCTACTCGATTCTTATAGTGAAAAGTATTCCTTGCGATCTCAAAGGCATGCAAACAAAGATTCAATTTACTCCAAACTAACATTAGACAAAATTGGTTGAATGTTCATGCAACAAATAATTCTAATTATTAGTGATCACTTGATTAAACAATAAGATTAAAAAGGAACCTGAACCGGTCGTCCAAATTATCTTATTAGGCGTTATATTCAATTACATATTCCAACATGCAATATGCTGATCAATAAATATAATAAAATCAACATCAACATCAACATTGGAAGCAATTCAACCATAATAACGTTAGTCAAATCAAATCATAATAATAACCCTAACCATAATACTAGCAATAAGAATAAAAATAAGAGTAATTAAGAGATTAATTACTCACGTTCCGTGCTTCTTTAAATCGCTACATCATGAATAAATTGTTAGTAACTTCAAGGAAAATAATAAATAATAATGGAAATTAAATTTAATTAAACTAGAGTTGATTTGGTGCCAAACCCTCAAACAGTTCTACCTTTCACGCCTTGGTTTAAGTTTAGAACCTCGGGTAAAGTACGGACTCCGGGAAGTGCTTATGGGATGTATTGTGGAAGAATAGGGAAGGCTAGTGTTTAGGCTAGAGCATAAGAGAGAAAGAGAGAATGATTTGGTGCCCCGAAACTGGTGAAATCAGCTTTGTATTTATAGAGAAAATATGAGGGGTGATGCATGGAACCGCAGAATTGAAGTGCCGCAAAGAAATTAAACCTAAAAATTGTCGTGTCACGGCGCATATTGTCGGGACACGATACAGTTTGCCGTGACGCAACGCAATTTGTCGTGACACAGCAAAACATGCCGTGACGCGGCATTTTTGCCGTGGCACGGCAAATCAGTTTTCATGAATTCGGTCTAAATTCATTTTATCTTTTTCTTAAGCATGAAGCACGTGATAATTAGGCGTCGTTTCAGCTATTCCGAACTTATTTCTGGCTTAGGGTTTTATTATTTATTAATCGAGCTTAATAAATAAATAACAAGAAATGAATTAAAAGGGTTTGAGCTAAAATGTGAGTTAGACTGAGTTTGAATAAATGTTTGGACTGATTTGTTAATTGAATATGTTTGACTGAATATGGATTTTAAGTACTCTCGAGATTAAATACTCGACCCAACCAATAATGGCGGTGAAATGTTATTCATCATCGGGTTTGATTGTGGGGAGACATTTTTAGGTGTCTATAGATATGAACTAGAACTCATTGATTAAAACTAAGCTAAAATACTTAAAATCGAAATTATTTCAAACAAAACCGAACATGACCAACTCGATTATGACCAACCCAATTCAAACAAAACCGAATATAACCAACTCGATTATGACCAACCTGATCACGATCCATGCAAAAAACAACCTAACCGAACCAACCTACTAGTTTTCAAAACCCAACCTGACTCATTTCAAGCCGATCCAAAACTGATTGTCAACCCAAAAAAGACGGTGCTACCCAAACCAATCCAGACAAAATATTCCAACACTTACTACCCCATATTAAGATTACCCAACAGAAAGGGAAATATAGAACAATTAACCAAACCCCGTGCCTTGGACTGATTAATTATTAAAATATAATAAGGCAGTCCTTCGCGAAGGGGCCAAAGAGCTCAGTGGGGTAACTGGCATCAGCAAATCCCAAGCTCTGCTTTATTTTTTTAGCATCACTTTCCAACCCTGCACCATCAACAGAGATGGTATGGCATACAAACATTACATTATAATATTATTATTATCTTTCAATTCCATCACTTCATCTTCTATTCATTTATGGCTTCTTTCTTGAATCTCGTTGTTTCCATTAATTCCTTCTTCCTTAATTTACCTCCTCTTCAAATACAAGTATGTATAATAAACTACATCTTTCATTTCATTTTTTTTTTTATTAATTAGTTTTAAATAATTTTATCCACTTGACTTTTATACAATAAACATTGATGTTTTCAAATTTCATCAACCCTTGCAAATTGCAATATAATATATGAATAAAACCGGCTTTAATTAAATCTTACATTATCTATGTTTTTGTATCTGCATTGTTTTCATTAGCTAAAGATTTTTATTTTCTTTTTTCTTTTTAGTTGATATAACATAAGAAATCAATGAACACATCTAGTAGCTCGGCAAATGAAGCATTTGAAGGATGTGTACATGTACCACAACCAAGGGAAGGGCTACACGAATCCGGCCCACCGCCTTTTCTAACGAAAACGTATGATATCGTCGAAGATCCGAGAACGGATGATATTATTTCATGGAGTAGAGGAAATAATAGCTTTGTTGTAAGAGATCCACAAAGTTTCTCCATCAATCTTCTTCCCAAATATTTCAAGCATAACAATTTTTCAAGCTTTGTGAGGCAGCTCAATACTTATGTGAGTTACATAATAGCCCTAAACTTTAAATAGTTTAATTTATGGTATGCAATTTTATTTTATTTATTGGATTTAATATTGCTTCCTCAAAGTAGAAAGAATTGATTCTTACGTTGCTGATTGATTGTACTTACCACTTGCTATTTCTAGCTGTGTTTTTTGAAAAGTGCAATATTGGTTCCCTTGACTTGTTATATTATAGGCCTATAGTTGTTACTTGTTAAGTGTAATGTTTTTGATTTGGATTGTCTAATTTCTTATTCATTTTAACCGGCTTGGTTTTATACCCATTTCATAATATACAACCGATATACTATTCGATTAAAATTAGATTGTCTAAATTCTTAAGTTTTGTTCAAACTGGTTTTTAAACCCATATAAAAATATGCTATCTCTATCTTAATTTTTTATTACAGAACACTCACCTGGGGGGAATAAGGGAAATCCTCCCAAGGCAAATTTGATGAGAATCGAACCCAGATCTCTTACTTTAAATTCGAGAGACTTGATCAACTGAGCCAAGCCTCCTTCTCAAACATTAAAGATAAATAAAGAGCCATTCCGAGAAATGAACTCTAGTATACGTGATTAATGGTGTGATTTTTTTCTACTAATTTTATATATAAGATCATAAATGTACCCATTTCAATATATACTATTTCAACTACATCCGAATTTTTATTTAAAGTATACGTGATTAACGGCTAACGCTGTGAACTTGCTTTTACTAATATTAGATATAAGTTCATAAAAGTTGATATTAGTTCCTTGATTGACTTTCTGCTTCTTGAGGTTGAAACTTGCTCATTATTATACACAATTCAGTATGTACATTGGAGAAAGGGAAAGAGGAGTGAAAATATCACATTATAAGTTAAAAGGAGTTATTTTGTTCTACTATATATCACCAATTGGGTATATTTTTACCTTCCTCTGACATGTAAAATGGCTCAGGTTTTCACCAAATAGTCATATGAAAAAAATACTATGGTAATGTTGGAATATGTGGGAATTAAATTGCTTACTTAATATTAATGAAATTTTTCTAAATTTTTTTGATTCGCAATTTGGGAAGTAATTTCTCATAGGAATTTCTATTTACCTAGGGAGACATAAGAAACTAAATTCCTACGTCTTGTGGGAAGTGAAATTTTCTGGGATTTTCTAGTTTCCCATTCCACCATTTTTTGCCAACCAAACAACTCTCCCTAATTACAATTCCTTGGATTTTCCAATTTCTATATTTTCTTATGTCAACCAAACATTACCTATATACTCCATCTATTTCAAAATAAATGAACAAGTTAAACTGAACACGTATGCCAATGTAAAACTTTGACTAGTAATATATTTAAAGACTTTTTGTCAGAAAATATATTTAAGGACTTTTTGTCAGAAACATCTGTTAAATGCAATTTTTTATGAGAAACTACCTAATAAAAAAATGTTGTAAGTATTAAAACAAATAATGTTGTAAAAAACCATTATTCGTCGGATTTCCGTCTTTAATTAATTTCTCCGGCGTTGACCACCCTTGACCTGTCACATGATTTGAATTAACCAAATTCTCACCTTTATCTCCACAATTCGGTGCCCAGCATCCCCATTTCGTCCTTGTATTCGGTCACATGAGGGCTTGTGTTGGTTTTGGGGATGCATGAGGGTGGTATGGGGGGTGTTTTGAGGTGGATTTGGGTGTTGTGGTGGTGGGTCAAAATCGTACGGTGATGAGGCGGTGATAAGGAAGGTGGCATTGTTGATGGGGCATGGAAAAAAAAGTTTTAAAAGATCACGTGATCGGCAAGTGGGTGGTCAACGCCGAAAAAATTAGTCATCGGTGAAAATCCTGTGAAGGGTAGTCGTGTACAACATTTTCATTTTAATAGGTAGTTTTTTTACAACATTTTTTTATTAGGTAGTTTCTCACAAATAATGGCTTTTAATAGGTAGTTTCTAACAAAAAGCCCTATATTTAATTGTCAATAAGTATAAATTTTGAAAAGTTGATATTTAGAAAATGTACATTGAGACAATTCTAATAAGTACCCATATAACTATATTTTTTTTCTTATTGATAAATCATTAACATTGGTCAAAGTGACTTATGTGAATAGTGCGAAAAATCAAATGGGGTATTTTTTTGAAATGAAGGGGTAAAAGACATAAACTCACATCAAGGAGATAGACATTGTGAGTTCAATTCATGTATAAGGCAACTTAAAGTTTTGAACATTTCAATATGCCACGGTCTAATGTCAAAAGCTCAACTGAATCAAAAGTTAAAGGAAAAATTGCCCGGAATAATCCCACCTTTGGAGCATCAGCTAAAAACAATCCCACCTTCGGATTATTTTTAAATAATCCGACCTTTACACCCATTCCGCTCAAAATGGTCCTAAGTGACCGGTTACCTGATAAATAGGTTTTTTTTTTGGTTTAAAGTACACGTGTCACAACATAATTAGTCAAAAAAAAATTAATTTTAATTTTTTTTAAGAAAAGATTATTACTAATTAATTTTAATTAACTAGTTTAAAACTAAATTCTCTAAAATTAATTAAAATTAAAATCCATTTTGGTTTCAAAAAAAAAATAATAATAATTAAAAATTAAAAAAAATTGCCCCAGCCCCGACCACCTCTCCACCCCACCATCGTCCCAGCTCCTCCACGCTTAGAGCGTCGTCCCAGACCGGACGCTCACCGCCCCTACCCCAGCCTCTTCCGTTGCCTCTAAACCACCAAACCCATTATCGAAAATCCGTAATCAAGGCATGGGAAGGAGAGGAGGGCTGAAATCGCGGCGTGTGAAGGGGAGAGGGGCTGAATTCGGGGCGAGGGTAAGGGGAGGTGGCCGGAAAAAGGACAGGGATAGGGGAGGGAGCAGAAAACGTGGCGGAGAAGGGGAGGGAGGTCGTGATCTGGACGGCCGGACGGATGGAGAAGAGTTTTTCAAGTGTAGTTGGTGGTTCAAGGGGAAGGGGGAAGGGAGTTGGCGTTTCAAGGGGTAGGACAGTCGGCGCGGCGCTTCGGCGCCGGTGGGCAGGCAACGTGGAGGGCCGGTGGGAGTGAGCAACCATGGAGGGTGATTGGGCTGGTGGGGGTATTTTCTTTTTAAATGAAACAAGTGGTTTTTAAATTAATTAAGTATTTTTTTTTTATATATTTTAGACCAATCAGCTGCCAACACGTGTCATGTAACTTGTTATAACAAGTTAAATGACCGCTTAGGACCATTTAAAGCGGATTGAGTATAAAAATCAGATTATTTAAAAATAACCCAAAGGTGGGGTTATTTTTAATGGACACTCCAAAGGTGGGATTATTGTGGGCAATTTTTCCAAAGTTAAACGGGTGGCTGGAGTCCCAGGTTTGGATTTATCCTTTATTAAGCCCCTTCACATGAGATCTCTCTTATATTGACATGTGGATGTAACAAGAGCCTCTTCATCCTTAACGCTGAATATTCCATTTTGAAATATTTAGGGGGATAGATCAGATGTAGTTTGATCTTGTGACCTTCTTGGCTCGTTGACTTAATACCATCCATATTTATATCGCAAAGAATCAACTCAACTAACCAAAGGTTAAGATAATTCTTAGAGTTCCAAGTTTTGATAAGTTTGCTCTATAATTTTGCAAATAAGTTTAAATGATTTTGACAAATTCACATCAATAATGATCATTTTAAGTTTTTTTTTTTCCTTCATTACTTTTAGTTGTAGGTAATTATATATTTACTTTTACAATCACTATTTGGTTCTATCGTGTCTTTCAATCAACCATCTATTTTAATCAACTAGTTAAAAAGGGGAAAAATTGATTACAATGACACCACTTATTGACAAGGTGCATAGAACAACACAACCTATTCATCAATAGACAACCAACACCACCACCTATTGTCTTGGGTGCGTATAATAACATAAATGATAACAAAGGTTGGAGATTCCACCAAGAATCTTATATATTTAATTATTTTTCTTTATCCCTTTATCAATTATTTTTAAACCCCTCACGTGACATTCATTCCCTTTGTTGCAATTCTGGCAAAACTGGAAGTCACTACTTAGATTTTCCACATTTTTTGAATTCCTATCACTTTTTTCTCTCAACAATTCCTCTAAACAAAAGTTAATAGAGCAAAAAAACGTAGCTATGGGGAAACAAGACATAGGGACTTAGGGAGTAAGAATTTATATTGTTCGTTCTATTATTTAAATGTTTTGTTTGTTTTAATTAAAATAATTCCTTTGTTCCATAATAATTAATACGGTAAAAAATGATACATTTATTAATGCATAAGTATAATCATCTATATATAATAACATTACTAATAGAAAACTATTAAAAAGTTAATATTATTAAACTACACATTAATCTCTAGTTATAAATATTTTACATGATATAAGTTGTTTATAAAACATTACTACAAAATCCAGTTAAAGTTCATACGTAAATAGTGAAAAAATATCAAAGTTTGTTAATTATTAAGAAGAAAAATTTGTCAGAAAGGTATTTAATGTTCAATTTTTTATGAAGAAGGACCTTATATGTTCAAATTGGTGAAAAAGGTCCTTATAAGTCACTTTTGTTGTGATGAGAGACCTTGACATTGGAATATGGCCATTGACTTCAATTTTCCGGCGTGGACTATCATGTGTGTGGCACGTGATGTTTAAAAAAGGCCCTTTCCTTCAATTTTCTTAGTGGTGCTTTCAAGCTTAGATTGATATTTACCCTACCAGTAGTGTAGTATTTATGATGATCTGTTATCATAATTTTATGTTTAAAATTATCTATTCAGATCATAATCAGACATCATAAATGTAGTTCATACATAAACGTAAATGAAAACAAAGGTTATACAATAATTTGCAAACAAATTCAATGGATTTTGCCTCTTGCATTTTATCAATTACAATGGTTATTGAATTATTATAATCATGCAGGGATTTCGAAAGGTAGATCCAGACAAATGGGAGTTTGCTAATGAGTTATTCCTTAAGGGGCAAAAGCATCTCTTAAGGAACATAAGGAGGAGAAAGGCAGCTTCTCAACAACATCAATCTACCCATAATTTGGAATCCTGTGTTGAAGTGGGTACGTTCGGATTAGATGTCGAGATCGATAGGCTAAGGCGGGACAAGCAGGTGCTTATAGCTGAGCTAGTGAAGTTAAGGCAGCAACAAACGCACACAAAAACTTATCTCCAACTGATGGAGCAAAGACTAAAAGGTACTGAACAAAAACAGCAGCAGATGATGAATTTCTTGGCGAGGGCGCTTCAGAATCCTGATTTTTTACACCAATTAGCTCAGCAGAAGGAAAGAAGGAAGGAACTTGTGGATGAGATTTCTAAGAAGCGCCGAAGACCAATCAAACAAGGTCCTAGCAATAGCACTAGTACTAGTTTCGGAACTGAAACAGCAGGGGTACTGTTTGATGTTAAGGATGAGCCTGTTGATTTACAGGATATGCCTCAGTTTGAAGACTCTGAATTGGATATACTTGCGATGGAAATGTCAGGAACACCTGCTGCAATTGATGATACTATCGCGATTGTGCCTCAGGAGGAAGATGTACTTCACACAGAGCATGAGGAAATGGGTAGAGATTTATCGACACTTGATGATGGTTTCTGGGAAGAATTCTTAAATAAAAAGATTGAAGAAGATAGTGGGTTGCTGAATGCTGATGAAATAATGGAAGAGGAAGACGTAATTGTGCTGGTTGAGAGGCTCGGTGAATTGGGTTCTAGACCCCCTCCTTAGATATGCTCATCAGATCCCTTGTTTGCAGTCTGCACCACTGATCCTAGCTAAGCTAGCTGCTAAAGAAGTATTAGTATTGTTTTGACAGGTTGTTTGGAAATGGAATTTCTTCCTACCTGATCGTATCGTAGCCTGGAAACTGGTAAAAACCATTCAGAATTTTTGCTGATATCTGCTGTAATAGTAGCAATGCAGTTTCTCATTTTACAATTAGTATCTCAGCTTGATTTTCCATCTAGTAGATGGTTGACTATCTTTGTGATGAACACCTTTTGATCATTTTAAACCCATAATATCCCCCTGTTATTAATAGGGTTATTTTTGGTAAACTAGACTCAAACATCATTGCTAGCATCTCATCGATTAGATCACGTGTAGGAGTAACCGATTTGTCTTTGTTACAATGGCTGTTTATTGCATCAATGTGATCGTCGAGTTACTTGACACATAACTAAAGATGACACTAGGTTGGGTTGGCTTGTGGCACAATCTAACACACAAAAAAGTATAGCATAGCACAAGCATGGGGTAGGCATGGCATGACAAGATATTGTGTGTTGCCAGACCTAGGGCATGTTATTTTTGAGAAAGTACAACACGGCATGACAGTGTGACATGATAAAACATGCTTAAAAAAAGTTAATATTTGTCTTAGACATATAAGCACAATATGGCACTGAGTGCTCGACACATCATGGTGGCACTTGGACCTGGATAAGCTTGAGCTACCCATTTGCAAATTTCTAAATAACACTTAATAGGTGAGCTCATGGCTCACACTATTTTTACTGGCATGAAATTTTAAATTATAAGTTTAAAATATCATTTATAAATCGTTTTGTTTTTCTCTTATGTTTTTGTACTGGTAGGCTGAGAATGAAAAGCTTGAATTTCGAATATTTTCTTGTTAAGTTGAATGTGGGTATTTTCACAACATTTATACATCTGCATGGTAGTATGGTACTATACATTCAGACAAAGAGTGGCTCTACAAATCTTCAGGATAACAAAGAATGAAGTTTTATAAGGTCTAGAACAAAGTTATTATTGTTTATAAATGGGTGGGGTAGTTGATGGTGCGTCCATTCCATCATTTGTGATGGAACATGGTAGTATGGAGAGCATGGTCTTATGAATTCTATATAAACAAATAGATAAAATCTACTTGTAATAGATTAAATTATGACAGAAAAGGTTACAGGACTGGTACAAGTTTATGAATAATGTAATGAAGAAGTTTTTTTCATCCTCTCTCTCTCAAAGTTATTCTTGTTTGACAATAACTGATTAAAAAAATAAAAATAAAATAAAATAAATAAATAAATAAAACCTTTTAGGGACAAAGTGAATATTGGGTTTCACTATTAAGACTTTTAAGAGTGTACTGACTTCATCACTTATTAATTGAATTGAACTTATCTGAATAAACTAGACTAATGAGAGTGAGGGATAACTCAAGTGATTAGAGCACTCCTCCCAATTTCAAGAGATCATGGGGTCGATTCTCATCACCCGTCCTTGTGGCTCTAAATAAAAATTAAAAAAAAAATAAAAAAAAAAAAAAAATAAATAAATAAACTGAACTAATGAACTTTTTAGAACTTGCTATGGCAATATGGCTATGAATTGAAATTGGATAGTATGGTACTCCGTAGACCTTATAAAGACTCCATTTATTTTAACAAAACACATCTTCCAAGATTTTCCATGATAAATACAAAGTAGTATTCAAGGGAAGACATAATTTGTCAAAGTAATGTAATTTTCCTTTGTTTGTTTTCTTATAAGAAAAATTATAGAAAACAATAATATGAGTGCAATGGAGGAGATGGACAGTAAGAAGGGAAAAGATTCAAAAAGAATTTATACACCAAGTACAAAGGAAAATACATATAATAAGTGATATTCAAAATTAATAAATCAAATGGTTTCAAAAAAAAAATTAATAAATCAAATTATTACAATGTTCACAATAATTAAAAATGACATTTTAAACTATTTTTTAAATGGTATATGTTAAAGCAAAAATTGCGCATACCACAAATTAAAGAACATAAGAGACAAACCCAAAGAATATGAACCCTAAATAACATACAAGTTTAATAAAAGGAATAAGAACATTGAAGAGCATAAAGAATAAAATAAAAGAGCATAAACACCCAAAAGAAAATAAGAGTTAAAACCAACGAACATGAACCTAGAAGAACATATTACGGAGTATTCAAGTAAAAAGAACATATTTTGTATCATTCAATCTTAAATAACATAGTTTAATTTGTATTGTAAATAACATATAATTCAAACCCAAAGAATAAATTGATCAGACTGAAACAACATACAAGTACTACATTCTAATTAAATAAAAATGAATATGGATCACAAAAAGATAAAAGAACACAAAAATAGAAGGAAAAACAAAAGAGTACAAAAGCTAAAAATAAATTGAAAAATACATATTCTTTCAATAAGGAATTAGTCATTTAATTACATCTCTCGATCTATTATTAGACCACAAAATCAACTCCAAAATTGCAATTTGAATCACTTTAAAATTCAGAATTTATTATTATTTCTCTATGTATACAGTATATATTTTCTCTCTATACAAAAAATAAAATTATTTGTCTCTCCAAAATTGTCCTATGTATGTGAAGTATTATAACAAATACGTTGAATCAAGGAAGAATTCGTTTTCGTTTCTTTTTTTCCCCTTACAATCATAGCAGCACACCTTGGTATATAGTGAAAATTTCATTGTGGTTCTTGGATTAGTTTGTACTAGAACGCATCAAAGCTCGGTATTATTTCCACACATTAAGTAGGTTATTGTGAAACCCAACAAGCGGTGCAAAAAACCTCTTGTAAATATTTTTGGTACATAAAATTAAAACTTTATATAAATTTTAACAAATTTAACAAGATTTTACGAATAATATTTCAAATTAAGTTATGTTTATTCGTGAATATAAAATTTTGACAAGTTAATTTACACAGTTTTGGATTGGTTTCATTGTATAGGGATTATTATAGCTTTCCTTTTGGACGTACTTATTTAGCTTAGAACTAGATACATTTGACTAAGTGACAGAATTATTGCTGAAGTACTTATTTAGCTTAGAACTAGATACATCTGCAATTATGTAGCTTTCCTTTTAGACGTCGTTGTTTATAATAATGGTAGTTGGCAAATCTTAAGAAAATACCCAAGTTGGAATGTAGGACCAACTTGTCTTGAATAGATTGATGATTGTTTATTCTCTGTCTTCTTCTCTTCTTTAAAGAACAAAAGTCTCTAATGTGTAACAATGAACAAATTACAATCATCACAGGGGTAGAATGGTAATTTAGTCTTTATTTGGAATTCAAAGGTTACTAAAATTCACATAAGACCATCTCTCAGAAGGGAAAAAAAAAAAACAAAAAAAAAACAAAAAAAAAACAAAAACAAAAAAAAAAAGAAAGAAAGTGGATGGGATTACAAATCAATAGTACCATTTCAATAATTTTGATTACCATTAAAATCGTCTAAAGTATCTTTACTCAACGTCTAATGCACCCAAATTACCCAACTCCACCCATTCAACATCATTTTATAAAAAATTAATTTAAATATGGTATTGAAGACCAACACAATTAAGAGAAAAGAGTACGTAGAAAGTGATTTTTATTTTAAAGTTTTTTTAAAAAAAAAAAGAAAAACGTTAAAAAACACCTCCTTACTATAGGAGTTACTTGGTAAAAAAAGTGTAGGGTGTAATGATTCGCATTGATAGCCAGATAGGATAAAGTTAAGAGAGAAAACGTTAATGATGGGTAAATTGAGAGAGAAGTGTGATTTGCTCTTCATAACTTCATTGGTAAGATAAGCATAAGCTAGTACACAATTATCTCAGGTAGTTAGCTAGACCTCTGTCTTTCCTTGGCAAGCTTAGAGGATGTGGAATAATGTCTAAAAGGCTCCTTGACAATCCGTTTGGATATCAAGACAATTAGAGTGCTGTCTTCCTACCTGAATGCCGCACCAAATAGCCCCTAGCTCAGTTTGCAAGGCTGAGTTAGCTGTTACTGGTCTTGCTACCATGCTTCCTTTGCATATGCATTCAGGTTGCTCTTCGCTAGGAAGTAGGATGGCAAGATTAAAAGTGTTTGTTAGCATTCATTTGTAAATCATATCTAATTGTTTATTGTGAATCAATATAAATTATAAACATTAAGATATTGGCATAGACAATGTAGAACTTCCAAAAGAAAGGATATGACATAGAAACTCAAATCAGCTTATACATAGTATATTACATTAGGTCTGAAACAATAATGAAAACTATCAACCTAGTACTGGTGTAAACATAATGAAAATTCACTATCGACACAATACGGAGTAACACTTATTGTTACACGAATACAAATACAACTACAATAATATTTATTGTTATTAATGGGAACTACAGCTTAAGATAACTTCCAATAAATAGAAAAACGGAATTAAACAACAGCCTAGAATTCTAAATAAATGATATCATTGAAGTGACAAGAACTTCTGATCCCGGACACAACGTTGTAGCTCCCTTTATCCTACGTCTACAAAATTTGTGATGCCAAATATAAATCTAGATTACAAAGGTACATTATTATACCTAATTGGCAGCAGCAGTGAAAGAACTAGTCTTTGCGAGCAGCATATCATAAATATCTTCAGCTGTTGGGCGCTCATCAGGATTCCCATTTGTGCATTGATGGAACAGATCTACCAAGAATCTCAAACCCTCCAATTCGCTGTCTTCTCCCTCAATTTCTGTACAAGAATTTAATCCGGAATGTTGCTCCAACGACCCCAGCTTTTCAATTTCACCATTTAATAGGGGTCTCTTGCCATTCTGCTCAAAGAGCATGTAACATTAAAAACAGTAGGAATTGAGGGGAATGGGATTGGAGGTGTAGAGTATAGGAAGATAGGATCTTTAGCAGCATGAATATTATATAAAGTCCATATATATATATATATATATATATATTTATATATATATATATATATATATATAGTCTTAGCAAAGGATATTAGGGTGCACTAGCTTGAACAAATGTATAGCCCATATATATATTCTTAGCAAAGGATTTTAGAGGACTTGAGACTTTTTCACACAAATGTATCAGATTAAGCCAAATGTAGTCATGACTCAAAAGAACTTAGACGTTTGGCAGATATAGAAGGCTTAATATTCTTTTTGGGGCTATTCCCACCAAAGTTCACAAACTTTAAACTTCTGTCTCCCTATTATCAAACTCGTGTAGCCATGCCCTACAGCAACCACATACCCCAACCCAGTCCAAGAAAACATAATTAAAACCTCTAACTAAGCCCATTACAAAAATCAGGAGTGCACACACACAAAAAAAATATATATATATAAAAAAAAAAAAAAAGGGCCACACACCAGAGTCAGAGAAAGAGAGAGAAAGAGAGAGATTTACTTGTAAAAGATCGTGAATGTTTGAGTCAGGTAATCCTGAATATGGGATTTGCAAGGTTAACAATTCCAAGAGCAAGCATCCATAGGACCAAATATCAACTTCCTGCAAACAGAAAGAGTCAGCCAAAGGCCAAAATTGTGCATTTTAAATAAATAAATAACTTGAAAAAGTAGGCATCGCCACTTCCATTTATGGGGTTTTTTAGCTTTCTTTTTAGAGGGGAGGGGATGGACTAGATTACTTATATAAACACCAAAAAACGTAGAACAACAGATGCAACTAAACTTAACTAAGGTTGTCAGGATCAGGAATTCAGGATCATACTTCAAATTCAGAAGACAGCAATGCTCAATGGACACCAAAGAGTCTCAGACAAATAACCCAAAATCTTCCAATGAGAAGAGTAAAATTCTTTGTAATGTCTTGATATAAAGGTAAAGCAAAGAAGAGTTCCTTCTACAAAGATAAGGAATTGTAAGACTCACTCTTGCCCTTGAAGTACCTTTCTGGTAAAGGAATTCTGTTTCTCTTTTAAAAGAGGTCCAACTCCGTTTTCTGAAGAAATTATTTAGCTACTTATCCAACTTTGTATCATTCTACTGAGCTCTTTTCACTTCAAAAGAAGAGTTGCAAAAAATGTTTGTTTGATGAAGTCACTGATCTCCATTTAAAAATAAAAATCTGATTTGACCCCATTCAAATGTTTTACACACTACTTTACCCTATATGGAAAATGACCTTTGCTCTTCTTGGAGCAATAGTGATCTTGTAGCCAGGTATGCTAATCCATTGAGAATGAACAACAAACATCAAAGAGGGCACAATTGTAATCTTTTAATTACTCCCTCCTTCCCCAAGTGAAGCACCCATTTCTCTTGGGCAAAACCGCACAAGTATTAGGAGAGAATTTGTAGAGGGGTTTATGGAATTACATGTTTTTTTTTAAAAAAAAAAAATCTTTTATTATATGGAGAAAGAATGGAGTATTATTTAATGGTTTCACGAAAAGAAGACGTGGACCAAACTCAATGAGAAATGGGAACTATATTTGGGGACGGATGGAGTATAAAGAAAATAGGTATCATGATCTATTACAATGAACTAATAATGCACTTAAACTTCCATAACCACCAACACACGCAAACACCCAAAACTATATGTGGCTATGATTAAAGCACAAAACATAAGATTGTACTACATTAAGAATGGTCCAACATAGAAACTAGTTTAGGGAGTATATATGTATATATAGCAATTCACGCATACACAAATAGTTCAAAGTTTACTGCATATAAAAACAGATCACACCAGACATAAAAAAAGATTATATTGCTACATGCAAAATACATTCACTTTCTGTGATTCAGCAACCAACTAATAAAAATAGCCAGTTATTTGAGAAGCACAAAGTATAGAAGCCTTTACAGCCTAATAGATTGAACCCTGAAAAGGAATGGTTTGCTCTCTAGCATACATACAGACAACAACATTTTATCTGCTCCTAGTTAAATATTTAAAACACTAACAAGTTTTGAGGCCTTTATGGTTTGAGAAAATGGGAAGCACAGCATCCCACAATATAAAATGTATCAACATACACTCCAAACCAGCTAAACTACATGACAGATCTTTCCACTAGGATGCAGGTCCAACCAACAAAATCCTGCTGGTTAGAATCCCCACCAGGCTCACATCCTTTCCAAATCAAACTTGCAAGAACAATAAAAAGACCGATTCACATGCATGGTTATTTCACATTTATGCAGATAATGATCAGTCACATGTAGTTTAGAGCATATTAATATCTGGAAGTGACACTTACCAGGCCATAGGTTTTACGTTCATGCATTGCCTGCAATACCTCGGGAGCCATCCAGCGGGGTGTTCCAACACACATATCAGGTGGAGGTATACCTACATGGGAAATACAACATGTATGCAAGGAGGATCGAAGAGGAACGGCTCTGTCAAAGTCAGAAAGCTTGATAACAGGCATTCCATCAGCTCTCTTCTGATCCAAATCAATTAGAATATTCTCGCTCTTGATGTCACGATGAATAATGTGCTTGGAATGCAACTCCTTCAGTGCACATGAAACATCTCTAGCAATGCACAAAGCAAGATGAGCAGGTACATGCTTCTTGCCAGTTTTCAACAGCTTCTCTATGTAATTCTGTAGCATGACACAGGTTTAGGCTGATGACATAAGACAATAGATTCACTAACGCAACTGACAAAAAATGTTTACAATGGAGAGAAGAGTGTCACCTTCAGAGAGCCCCCTCCAACATATTCCATAAAAATCGCAGAACGAAGCATACGACGCTCAGGCTTTTCATCAGATGAAGATGCAGGTATCCAGTCTGAAGAAATCTTATGCCCATAAATCTCAACTATGCATGGGTTTTTCTTTAGAGCACTCAAAATTCTTACTTCCCCTATGCAGGTAAATTCAAAATTCCTGATTTCATCCAGGGCAATTGCGGATACCTCTAAAGTACGGACCTGAAGTAATAACTAAATCAGCTAGGAGTATATTATAGACCACTCAAACAATACCCCAAGGGATAAAAAGTGTTACGAACCTCCAATACATATATATAATAAGAATAAATTTCAAAAAAATCAAGGACGCAAATAATAAAAGAATAAAATCTATATATCAGAAAAAGGTTGTTAGTGCATATGTGTGTGTAAGGAGTTATGAGGGTAGTGATGTTGAAGATAATCAATTTTGGCTTTTAACTCTCAAAACAGTATCGACTTAGTAGCTAATGCATTAGATAATGACAATAAGTTGAAAGCTTTCACTAAAAGCTACTGGAGAACTTCAACACACATAGAGCTCAAAATAATCTATACTCGAGCAAAAAAGTTCAGAAATCCAACATTGAATTATCACCCAAGAATGTTAGCTAGGTGGAATAATAATTATAAAAAGAAAATTAAAAAAAAAAAAAAAAAAAAAAAAAGACAGGCAAATATATATAGAACTAACATGATAACTAGACACCCAGATAAAAAGAATTTGTTCGAGAACCACAAATTAATTAATGAATGGTCGACCATGGACCACCTATTTCCCATATTCTCCAAAGTCACAACTAAAGCTTGTCAATAGTTTCTAATTGTCCTACCAAGCTAATAATATTCACATACAAGACACTTGTGATGTGACATTGTGACAGTCATTGTCATTGTAGTCAATTATGGTTCTTTTACAATTCATGAGCTAGCTATCCTTGGTTAAAACTTGTCATTTCATCTCAAGTATCCAAGTCAAATATTTGATGCTCCAGGATATGATATTAAATCTGGAGCAAAGGCACAATTTTTTCATAAAATAGCCAAAAGTGAAACTTGGACATCAATCTGTCATGGACTCAAATAGCCCAACCATGATCCGGGTCAACCACCACTAAGGGTGTATGTTCGAAGGCAGAAACAGACCAAGGGGACAAGAGTACAAGAAGCAGAACAGTTAAGTCAGCCGGAGGGAGGAACATAACAAAAGAGTTTAATGAAACACTAAGGGGATGTAATGAACCGTGTTAAGCCTCTTGTGGTCCACACTTATAAAAGGAGAGGGAAGAGGCCCAATGCAATGGTCCAGCAACAACAACACAATCAGCCCACTCAGGAAGAGTGTAGCAGCTCCTGATGATTTACAGCAGAAGAAGACAAGAGCACAAGAAGACAAGTTTAGCCACCAAATCCTTTTTGTAGTTTGTGTATATATAAGAAAGGTGGTAGAGAGATTAAGGCAGGCATTTTGTGAGATCATTGTATTGAGAGTTGTGAGCTAAACTCACTAAGGAGAGTTGCTGCCTAAAGCAGCTATTATGTGAAACCCTTTGGCTAGAAATCAAGCTTCAACCTTTCTCTCTATTTTTTCTGTTTCATTCTCTATTTTCTGCTAGTTACTTGTGTGTGTTGCTGTTTTCTGGTTCATTACAGTTGGTATCAGAGCGGTACGGTCATGGTGGCCACGGTAAGCCAACGGGTCGATGTATTGGAAGAAAAGTTCAAGTCTTTGGAAGAAAGACTCGCTGGAATAGAACGAAAACTGGACACCCAGGAAACTTCTATTGGCAGAGTAATCTCTCAGGCTATGGCGGACAACTCGTCTGGAGGGTGGAAACTTCTATTGGCAGAGTAGTCTCTCAATTATGGTTCTACCAGCTTAATGAGGCGGAGAAATAGCAGGCGGCGGCCGTTGCGATGTTAGGAGACGCCCTCATGTAGGTTTCAGTAGGAGAACCGCCAAAGGCCGATTGCTGGGTGGGCTGATTTATGCCGGCGACTCTTACAGTAGTTCCGGCCCTCTCCACAAGCAGTGGCTCGCAGTGTCGCAAGTGGGTACGGTGGCGGAGTATAGAAAAAAGTTTATCGAATTGACTGCTCCTTTAACTGACATTCCTGAAACACTCATGCTCGGTCAATTCATTAATGGCTTGAAAGATGAAATCAAGTCAGAAATACGAGTTCTAGACCCCTTCAAACTAGAACAAGCCATGGATTTGGCCACCAAGGTGGAAGAGTGGGAGCTGGCGTGGGTTAAAATAGGTTTGGGATGGCCGGGTATGTTGGAAAGGGTGGAAGTAGTAGTGGGGCCTTTGGTAATTCTTCTAATCCAGGAACTGCTAGAAATTTCAACAAGGCTATTGTAGAGTCTTCACAAGCCTCTGTTAATGTGGGCCGCCCAGTAACTACTTCTCTCAAGGGTCCAATATAACAAAAAGGCTCACCGAAAAAGAGTATCAGAAAAAAAAAAAAAAAAAAAAAAAAAAGGCCAAAGGGCCTTTGTTTTAGATGTGATGAAAGGTACGGTATAGGCCACGTTTGCAAGAACAAAGAACTGAGTGTTATGCTTGTTGATGAGGACGAGGAGGAGAGAGAAGAGGATGGCATGGGGGCTGAGATTGAAGAGGAACCAATCATTCAACCTTCCGTAGAAATTTCTTTGTGCTCGGTTATGGATATTTCTAACCCAAAAACTATGAAGCTCTGTGGTGCTGTCCGAAAGAGGGACCCGGGGCCACGCACAATTTTGTGGCGGCGTGCTTGGTAGAAGTTATTGGGGCTGTTAACATCGGAGAAAGGGGAGTTCGGAGTTTCACTTGGAAATGGAGAAACCATTAGAGGCAAGGGGATATGCAGGGGAGTGCGTGTCAAGCTAGAAGGGAGTGTGGAAATAATGGAGGATTTTTTGCCTCTCTTAATATTGGGGGTACAATGGCCCGAGAAGCTGGGCACCATAACAATGAATTGGAAGACTCATGTTATGCAATTTCGGGTGGCTGGTATTCCGATCACTCTCTATGGAGACCCCTCACTTGAAACCACCCAAATATCGTTGAAGGCCATGATTAGAGGATTATGCAAAGAGAAGAAAGGGTTGAGGGTAAAGGTGAATGAGTTGGAGGGACGATTGGAGGTGGAGCACTCAAGGTACAGGGCGGAGTTCTTGAATCCAGTACTTAAAAATTTCAGCAGGGTCTTTGAAGCCCTAACTGGGTTACCGTCGTTACGTGGTCACGAACACGCCATAGCTCTCGAACCCGTGAGTGTGAGGTCGTATCGTTACCCGCGGTTTCAAAAGGATGAAATTGAGAAGATGATAAGGAAAATGCTGGAGGCAGGGATTATACAACTTTCAATCAGTCCCTTTTCTAGCCCGATACTCTTGGCCAAGAAAAGAGACGGAACGTGGCGTTTGTGTTGACTACAGGGCCCTTAATAAGGAAATGGTTCCCGATATGTTTCGGGTCCCTATTATCGACGAGCTCCCGGATGAATTACACGGTGCTTCAATTTTCTCTAAGCTTGACTTGAAAGCGGGATACCATCATATACGGGTTAGGGTTAAGGCAGACGATACACATAAAACAGCCTTTCGAACTCACGAAGGGCACTACGAGTTTCTTGTTATGCCTTTTGGCCTCTCTAACGCACTTGATGAACGAGGTGTTCAGGACGTTTTTGAGGCAGTTCGTCTTGGTGTTCTTCGACGATATTCAAGTTTACAGATGAAGAGTCACAAGGAGCATTTGAAGGAAGTTCTGTGAAAATTAGAGCAATTTCAATTATTCGCGAATCACAAGAAATGCGAGTTTGGTAAACATGAAGTAGCATACTTGGGACACGTTAACTCTAAGGGCGGGAGTTGCCGTAGACTTGGAGAAAATTAAGGCCATGGTAGAATGGCCAATTCCCCATAATTTGAAAGAATTAAGGAGATTCTTGAGGATGACGGGATATTACCGGAAATTTATTTAGAAGTATGCGATGATTGCCCAGCCATAACGGAAAAAAGACAGCTTTGGGTAGAGTCCAGTTGCCACATTAGCCTTTGAAAAATTAAAGGAGGCCATGACTTCAGGCCCTGTTTTAGCCATGCCCAATTTCAATAAGAATTTTGTGGTGGAAACCGACATGGGTTGGAGTCGTGTTAATGAAAGAAGGCAGACCCATCACCTTTTACAGCAAGGTTTTGGGGATGCAAGCTCGAGATAAGTTGGTATATGAAAAGGAATTAATGGCAATTTGCCTTCTGGTTCGCTGGAAGCACTATTTGATGGGGAGGAGGTTCATTATTATTCGTACAGATCATCAGAGTTTGAAATTTTGAAATTTATCACGAAACAACGGGAAATTGGGTCGGATTACCGGAAGTGGGTGAGAAAACTCATCGGGTTTGAATATGAAATTCAATATAGACCTGAAATTTCCAATCGTGTTGCGGATGCTTTGTCTCAAAAAACCGGGGAAGGAGTTGAGTTGAAGGGGATGGTTACACAGCAAGTATTGAAGTGGGATGAGTTAAGGAGCGAAATTGAAGGTGATCCTTGGCTGACAGCGCTAAGGAAGGCAAGTGAAGCAGGGGAAATCCTACCCTCTGGGTTCGTGGTTGAGGGCGACCTGGTCAAGTATAAGGGTAGGCTCGTTTTGCCAAAAAATTCGAAATTCATTTTCGTCTTCTCGAGGGAATACCATGACACTCCTACTGGGGGTCATTCCGGGGAGGTAAAGACGTACTTGAGGATAGCTAAGGAATGGTTTTGGCCCGGTATGAGGAAGGTTGTTGGTGAGTATGTGAAGGGATGTGAGGCCTGTCAAAAGAACAAGCATTCACAACTTAGCCCAGAGAAAATTTGGCACGAGATCTCAATGGACTTCATAGAAGGTCTACCAAGGTCTGGAGGAGCAGACACATATTGGTAGTTGTGGATCGACTCTCCAAGTATGCACACTTTGTGGGGTTAAAGCACTCTTTTACTGCTCAAACGGTGGCTGAAAAATTCGTGGCTGAGGTAGTGAAGCTTCATGGGTTTCCTTCCTTTATTATATCAGATCGTGACCGTGTATTCTTAAGTAACTTCTGGAAAAAGTTAATCCGTTTACAGGGATCTAAGTTAAGGCGAAGCTCAGCTTATCACCCTCAAACCGACGGTCAGTCGGAGATTGTCAACAAGGTCCTGGAAACATACTTAAGGTGTTTTGGTACTGAGAAACCCAAGTCTTGGGCCAAGTGGTTACCTTGGGCGGAACTCTCCTATAATACTTCACCACACATGTCAGCAGGTCTATCCCCTTTTCACATTGTTTATGGGAGAGAACCACCTCGATTGATTAAAGGGAGTGCTGATCAAACTTCCGTAAGTAGCTTAGAGGAGTGGCTGGTGATAAGAGATGGTATGCTTGATGAGCTGAAGGTGGTGTTATTCCGAGCCCAGCGGAAAATGAAGGTGAATGTTGATAAGACCAGAAGGGAGGAGTAACTTGAGGTAGGAGATCAGGTGTATTTGAAGCTGAGGCCCTATTGGGGGCAAACTCTAGCCAAAAGGCCATTTGAAAAGCTTTCAGCATGCTACTATGGACCGTTTGAGATCATCCGCAGGATAGGAAAGGTGGCATATGAATTGGAGTTGCCTCCCACCTGTCAAATTCATCCGCTTTCTCATGTATCTCAGTTAAAGAAAGCTGTGGGTAACCAGGTCAGTGGGCAGACTATACCACCCCTACTCACTTCTAAATTAGAGATGGTGGAGGAACCTGAGTCAGTGCTGCAAGCGAAAGCCTTGAAGGGTGGAGCTGAGATGCAGTTAGAAGTGTTGGTGAAGTGGAAGGGCTGCCACAGTTCTAAGCAACTTGGGAGGATGCTTCTCTCATCAAAGAACAATTTCCCTTGTTCCACCTTGAGGACAAGGTGGGTCTCTTCGGGCCGGGAGATGTAATGAACCGTGCTAAGCCTCTTGTGGTCCACACTTATAAAAGGAGAGGGAAGAGGCCCAATGCAATGGTCCAACAACAACACAATCAGCCCACTCAGGAAGAGTGTAGCAGCTCCTGATGATTTACAGCAGAAGACAAGAGCACAAGAAGACAAGTTTAGCCACCAAATCCTTTTTGTAGTTTGTGTATATATAAGAAAGGTGGTAGAGAGATTAGGGCAGGCATTTTGTGAGATCATTGTATTGAGAGTTGTGAGCTAAACTCACTAAGGAGAGTTGCTACCTTAAGCAGCTATTGTGTGAAACCCTTAGGCTAGAAATCAAGCTTCAACCTTTCTCTCTATTTTTCTCTGTTTCATTCTCTATTTTCTGTTAGTTACTTGTGTGTGCATGTTGCTGTTTTCTGGTTCATTACAGGGGAGTGGTGACTGATTCTCTGAGCATGTGATTTTTGTTGTCAATACAAGACAAATGTAATTAAGAGTAGGTTAAACCTTGTAAAAGAGAGCTTGAGTATAAAAAGGCAGGTAGTAGTAGTTTTACAATCATCCAGAAATTTGAGTGAAAGTGAAACACTTGGTGAGATTTGTAGCATCAAGCTACTAAGTGAGAGTAATAGCCTAAAGCTATTGACCCATTGTAATCCTTTTTCGCCATTATTAATTAATCAATCAAGCTATCCTACTCTAAATTATTACTTATTAATATTATTAGCGGTTGCCGGAGTTAGTCCATAACACAATCAGACACACTAGTAGTCGAGTCCAAGTGATATAGCTTAGTCTCTAGATAATCAGACTAGGCAATGGAAACAGTCAAAGCTAAATCATGTACATAGGAGTCACATTCTTCCAATGTTCCTAAGACCCAATAGCATAGAAATTGCCCCCGATAAATAGGCTGAGTAAAACAATACATGAAATCAATAAACATTCATGTCTAAGGAGCCGAACCTTTGCTGCAGCTTCAACTGATCCCACTATGCATAAAATGAGAGAGCTAGAAGCAACTTTTTCAATTTCTTCACATTCAGTGATCGAAGGAAAACCAGTCGAAACAGGATCGCTAGGAGCAAGTTTTGGGGAAATAATCCGAGTGAGCGGAATGTACCTGCAAGAATAATATTTCATGACAGCATGAGAAATGATATAATATCAGTTCCTCTGAACAAGCTTATATGACATGATGCGGCTACTAGTTATAGAACAAAAACAAAACAAGACACAGGGCCATTAAAAAATTCAAAATACCTGCACAAGTACTCCGGATCCATCTCCTCCCGTATATCATGTGGACGACAAGCATCAACTATCATGCGAACCCATAATCCACCCTTCTGGACAAGGACTGCATTCCAGGCATGTGGAGAAAAGTCCAGGTAACCTCGAATCAGCTCACAAGGCACAGGAGGCTCCATTCGATCGCACAAGTACTGGAATGCGCAAGAAGTGAACAGTTAACAGCAATCAAAATTATAACAGTAAATGAGCCAGAAACCACAAACTAGTTACCTTCATAAGAACTGCCCTATGTCTACATACACCAAGTTGCAAAGCCCCTAAAGGCACAACAACAGAATTGCGCCTCGCTTTGATAGTTTGAAGGGATTTCTCACAGATATCTTGTAAAACAACATCTTCCACAGCATGAGTATTCTTCTTTGAGGCCACCATCCCATTCTGACTATTCCCAACAGCACAAGTACAAACAAAAGGCTTCTGATAGTTCGAACCAGAAACATCTTTTCTAACTCTATCAAGGGAATAAATCCTGTCCCCACCTCCAAAATGATCTGAGACAAATAGTGCAAGCCAGGAAGCAACCAGAAAATTATCATCAGCTGTCAGGTCTCTTCTCAGCCTCAAGCCAGTCAACTTCTTCAAGCGAAGAACCATTGCTTGAGCTGACAACAATATTCCATCCAGTTCTTCATCCCTTTCCCTGAGCAAAGAGTAGGCAATCACAGATTTTATTAATTCAAAAGAATTATGATCTTAGCATCTGCAAACACAGCCGAAAAATTATTTTGTATAGAGTTATTTAAGATGTAACAACCTGTCAAGTAGAATCACTTCACGAGAATGGATCTCAAAATTTTGCTCATAATCCCTCAGTGACATAAAAGGTCTATCACGTCCAGCATCATAAAACCCATCCGGTAGATGATCCTTAACACCACAGAAAGATGTGAAATTATACATGCGAGAAGTAGCAGCCTGATCATCAGTTGATCTCCGAGACTTTCTGGGCTTTGGATTATCAAGATATTTATCTGACTGCCTTTTACACTTGTGGGAAGCTTTTGAGACTGGGGAAGAAATACTTTCTTTAGCCTTATCAATGTTATCACCCAAACTGCATATGCAAGTTGATGGAGCATCACAGCAATAAGTGTCATTTTCTCCTTCACTGTTGGCCTCGTCTTCAATATCATTGGAGTTGTTCAAATCAATTTCCTTCTTTGATTTCACACTATCATCAACGGTATCAAGAAATTCTGCACAACCCTCATTTTCCCCATATAGTGACTGCTTACATTGGTCCTCAACACAAGTAATGTCAGTAGCACACTCAGAAATAGAGTCAGATGCAAGTGGCGCTCGTTCGCAACTTCTGCACTTTTCACTAGATTTGATAGTGAAAGTATCACCATGGTCTTCAATTTTCCATTTTCTGCTATGATGTAATCTCTCTTGGCGAGCACGTTGCTGTAAATATTGCCTTCTCTTCCACCGCTTACCTAATCGCCGTTTACCAAAACATCTATCAATCAATGAAGACCCAGGTACATGATATGAGGTAGAATTAGAAGATGCTGCATCATATAGAGCACTATTGGTCAATAGTCTGCTGATCATCACAGCATACACTAAACTTCAATGAACATTTGGAAAAAAAAAAATTTAAATAACACTCGAGAATCACTAAAAAAAACGAACAAACAAAAAAGGCTAACCATCACAAGAAATGCTTCCATTGTCATCAATTGTTGCTTCCAAAACATCCATCTCAACAGTAGAATTGATAATGTCATCACTGCAGACGCCACTTCCATTACCCTCCATATTGCAGCAAACCCATGCAGGTATTTCGCAACTGAGAAGCTTATTGTACTTAGACAATAATAAAAATATGAAGTAAGCATGTTAGGTTTAAACATTTAGACAGAGAGAAATCTTCAAGAGCTTTGGGTTGATGGAATGGCAACCCTACTTCCTTGCTACCCAACATTTTGTTTAATGAAAACACACAGCTTTGTATCCCCCTTCCCCCCCTCACCCAAAACAGACCCAGGAAATATAAAAAAGAAATGAAAAGGACAGCCCTATCCTGATCTAATGTATTATAATTGGTTTTGATGCCTTTATCGTTTATAAGACTGCCAATCAAGCTCCCTAGGAAAACCTTCAGCTTGAGGAAAACAAAACTCTATCTCAACCAAAAGGTAACAAGTCCAACGTAATAGGACAGAATAATGTATGCGGCAGACCAAAATTCACAATAGCAACTCTTTGCAACAAGAAGAGGGAAAATGACAAAGCACCAGCCATCTCAAAATTATGTCATGCCAAAAGTAAGGAAACAAAACACAAGGTAGTTATTGCTGGATCAAACCGCGATAAGAGTTGAATATCAAAATTAGCATCGGGTGTTACTATTTGACGACAAAGAAATACTCACGACGGCATTATTAATGACCTAGCCCGTAAGTGTTTTCCAGCAACTATTTGAACTAACCTCTGGTGAATCTTCTTCCCCGCCCAAAGCCTCCGAGATATACGCATTCCACCATCACGGCATTGATTACACCGGAAAATGTACAGTGGTAGTGGTAGTGGTGGTGGTGGTGGTGGTCGCAGTTGAGGTGATGGTGGGTGGTGGACTATTTTGGGGGTTGAAGGTGGTCAAGCCATGAGTAAGGATAAGGAGTAATAACATTTTAAAATAGGGGTAGGATGGTATTTTACAATGTTGTCGTGAGTATATTTTCGTCGTCAAATAGCAATTCAGAACATCAAACTCTTCACTTTTTAAAACCATCAATAATCAGCAAGAAATATCAACAACTAAATATGATCAGAAGTTTATTAAAAAGGAAACAGAAAAGCTAGTTGTTCCTGAGTACCTGAAGATTCAGCTTCTGAAGGCTTTGCATCGAGCTAAGTTCAAGCAGTCCAAGAGATGTCAACCTATTCCTGGATAAATCTAAATTCTCCAATTTTTGTAGAGTGGACAATCCAGCTGGTAGCTCAACTAGCTTATTATTAGCAACTTTGAGTGAGACGAGGGCCTTTAATGAGCTTATTTCCTGTGGTAAACCTCTCATCTTATTGAATGACAGATCCAAATACTCCAGATTAACCAGGCAGCTAATTTCAGGAGGAAGGTATCTGCAGAATGAGCATAAAGGAATATGCGTAAAATGGAATTTTCATGAATAATTATAATTGAAGTTAATATATTTAAAGGTGTAAAACAGGAACTTATAAACCTTAGTAAAATTAAATCTGAATGACTTTCAATATTCACATGCACAAGATAACAGTGATGGCCAGAAATACTCTACCCAATAGTATGGCCAGAAATACTCTACACATTATCATAACAGTGATAACACCTTTTGTTCATCATGAGACATTATAATATTCAATGCACAGCAAGTAGCACCTCCTTTGTTATCTCCTTTCCACCCCAACCTCCTTTCAAGGGCCTATTTGACATCGTTTTTTGTTTTCAGTTTTTTGTTTTTTCGAAAACAAAAAACCAAAAACAAGAAACAAGAAAAAGGTATTTCCACTTTTTTGTTATCATTTCAAAATTATCATGATTTTAATAAGTTTGACTAATTTTTGATTCATTATATGACATACTTCCTCCGTTCTTTTTTACTTGACCCGCTTTGACTTTTACACTATTCAGCACCCTGCTTTGACCGTCTTTTGTGAATTTTATACAAGTAAAAACATATTCATATGGGATTTGTAGATTTGTCTCAATAAGTACTATCATAATGTATAATTTCTAAAATTTTTATTTATGGGAATTAAAGTTATTGGTTGTTAACGTTTTGCATTGGCAAGCGTGATAAATGAAACAGGTCAAGTAAAAAAGAACGGAGGAAGTATATCATATGATTTTGAAAAAACAAAAAACCAAAAAACAGAAAACCACAGCGATACCAAACGAACACTTAAACTTTTCCTCTTTTTTTTCCGCTTTTCTCTATAGTTTATTTGCAAACTTCAATCTAAAGAGGAGTTGCAACAGAAAGGAGATAAGACAATGAACTCAAATTGGTAACATTAAAGAAAGAATTGACAAGATTTACCAGACTAAACAACTTCCATTTGCTCGGTACTAATACCTCTATTGTAGAAGTACAGAAGAATAAGTAATATTCAGATATGATTAGAGTGATTATGCAAAATGGATTCAACATGTGGACAGGCAATGATATTGATAATTTTTCGGAATATCATTGATAGCTCCATATTTTTTTACGAATAATGACATTAATGAATGAAATTGGTAAAAAATTCCATAAAATTTAACTTTAACTAACTATTATTAATTCATTTACCCTTTTCCATCCCCTACCTCCCTCTCTCCCCTCAAAACTCACACCATCAACAAACTCTCATCACTTTCTCTTTCCACCATTATACCCCCTGTCCCCCACCTCCCTCCACCGCCTCTCTGTCCACCCACCACCGGACCCACTATTGTTACACCTACCACCAGACCCTCTACCCTCCTCTCTTTCTTCGCCCACCACAATCATAACACATCACCACTGCCACAAAACCCAAATTCTCTCTCCTTGAAACCCCACTCCTCAAACTCTCACCATCATCTACTATAAACAAATTTGACATGATAATGAGCAAATTTCACATCAACATCCAACTCCTCCGTCTCTATTGACCCTTCAACCACCCAAACACAAACTCATCACTACCTACAAATAAAGCATGACTAGTGATTTAAGAAAAAAAAAAAAAAAAAAAAAAAAAAAAAAAGGACCAATTTTGTGCCTCTATTGACTCGCCAACCACCCAAGCACAAGCTCATACCTTCCTCCAAATAAAACATGACTAGCGATCTATATACGTAGCTAGTTCCATACTCCATCTTCACTGCCTTGTCAACCATATCCACTATAAATTACCATTATCACTTGCTCCCCAAATTTTTCCTCAGCTTAAGGTTGCAATGATTTAAGGGAATGATTTAAAAGAGTAGGCGGCCAAATTCAAGCATAATGGATGATGGTGTTGCATGGTGGTATAATTTTTTGGTGAATTCTTCGATTGGGTAGTGGTGGAGGAAATCATGGTTGCTGAAGTTAGCACTACAATACATTTGGAGGTTAAGGTTCGTAGATTTGGATCAATAGTAGTTTAAGGTGGTGAGTATGGTGGCCGTCATTTGTTAGTCAATTAAGGAGCGAAAAGGGGCGATTATGGTGCCTGCGATGGAGAGAGAATGATTTGTGATGTTGGAGATAAGATGCGATGAGATTGAGTAATCTAAAACGGGTTTTGGGAGGGAGTTTTTTAAGATGATGAGCAGACCATAGGGTATGTAGGTGTTGTCCTCCATTGATGTGTTCTTGAGAAGTTCAAAGGTTGAAATTGACTTATTTTTATGTACTTTCTTATAAGAAAAGTATAATGGCACATCAGCAGGGGAGGGAATTTATTAACGGGGATGAAACCATATATAGTGACACGCCGAATGGCAAATAATTGTGTAACTTAACAGATAAAATTAAAATTAAAAAACTTCAAACATTAACTTAGCCCAAAAAACTAAATATAATTAATAAAATTTTATGTCCCTATCCCCGTATAAAAGGAACCACATCATTTTTTTCTAACATCCAAACTCCAAAATCTTTCAAACCATATTACACTTTCCTACAACCTCATATTTACTTCCTACATTGTCCTTCAATTTGCAACTTAAAAGGTAATTTGATAAATACCAAAATATTTATGCATTCTGGCTATCATCCTCCTTAAGTTTTTCCTATTCTGATGCCTCTAATCCATGCCATAATATATGTGTTTATCAATTATTCCCTAGATTTTCTTATGCCTATTAGTAAATTTCATATTCTTGTATGAGTTGTGTAAATGTTTCTAGACATGAAGAAAAATTACCCTGATCCACTTCTGCTTACACTATCAACTATAGTATTTCATACATGAAAAAGTCGTATTAAAAGAACACAAAAAAGAGATCACCACATTTGTTAACTTTCCAAGTCTTTTGTCTGCAATAATATGTCCATTACATATTGCAAATATGCAATTGAATAACCAGCATATCATATAAAAAAATAAAAAAAGCTTGCATCTTTCACATAATTCGACCTTGAAAATCATACATTATCCTCTCTTTTGTCTAAAATTCCATTTAGTCCACTTCATCAACAACATACTAACAACAGATATTTGAACAGGCACATAATACTTGAGAAAAAAAAAATCACTTTTCACAACTACAAACTATTCTCTCAGAATTGGTGACTGAACAAATGATTCATAATATAAAAAAATCAAAGTACTTAATCAAACGCACAAAGAAGCAAAAAAATCTAATTAACCACGAACCTGATAGAAAAATGGCAAACTGATAGCTTGGTTAAACACTTAAGGGCAGAAATCTCAGCCATAATGGGGAACCCGGACCGCTTTGGTGGCACTTTCGAAAGCTCGAGTTCCTTCAAAGACTTCAACTTGCTAAGAGGCAAACCCATAAGACTAATTGGGGATACCTTAACTTGCAAACATTGAAGCTCCACCAAATCCCTAACCTCTTGCGGAAACAAATTAACCTCATTAGCAAAAAATTTAAGCTTCTTCAACGTTCCCCCAAAATTCCCCAACGATTTGGGTATCAAATTGAACACATTACGATACACATACAACCCTTCCGCCGACTTCCCACCATCGCCGTCGAGGAGAGAGAGTGGAAGATCTAAATCCTTGTCGGAAACATCGATAATTGAGTCAAATTCATCGGATTCTGCGCCGGAATTTATCGGAGGAGGTGGAATTTTATCTGAGTCTAGGGTTTCTGGAGCTTGAGCTTCGGTTTCAGGGGGGTTTTGGTCTTGCATTGTTAAAGGGAGGAGAGAGAAAAAGGGAGGTTAGAGGAAGAGATCAAGCTGCCGCCATTGAAGCATGGTTTGGAGGTTGGATGAAGGAAGAAGTGAGAGAGCAGGGCAGTTGTTGTGACCGCTGCTGCTCTTTCGAAACCCTAGAAGGTGAGAGACGATACGGTGTTTGGGCATTGTTTTAAATTTGATTTTTTTTATTTTTATTTTTTTAATTTGAAGTTAAAGCAACGGAAAAAGGAAAACTTTTTACCAAATTGAGCTGGCAAATCATTTACCAAATTGGTCTCGTGGCAAAAGTATTTCCCAAACTAAGCTTGTGGGATAAAACGCTGTCTCAGACAGCGTTTTATACCCAGATTTTAAAAAAAAAAATCCAAGAAGTAAAACGCTGTCTCACCCGTTTGACTTTTTTCTCAAACTTCGTATTTCATATTTTATAAAAAAAAAAGCCCTCAATAAACGCTGCCTGAGGCAGCGTTTATTGTACAGAATAAAACGCAGCCTGAGCAGCGTTTTCCTATTGAGATAATACTTTTTCCGTTTAATTTTTTAAGTAAAACGCTGCCTCAGGCAGCGTTTTACTTTTTACATACACAAAATACGTGTATACCAATATATTTTAGCAAAATACATATAAAAAGTCAATTAACCATAAAACGCTGTCTGAGACAGAGTTTTATGTTTTGAATTTTTTTTTAAAAAAAACTGGGTGTAAAACGCTGTCCGAGACAGCGTTTTACCCTAGAAGCTTAGTTTAGGAAATACTTTTGCCACGAGACCAATTTGGTAAATACTTTGCCAAAAAAGCTCAATTTGGTATAAAGTCCGACTTGACTTCGGTACTCATACTAGTCGTCTAGTCATTCGTTGAATTGAAGTGTCGAACTTTCTATTTTTCATTACTTATTTTTTTAAGAAAATATATTTTAATAGTTTTAATTTTGTCCGATTTACTTTGAATAATCTCAACTATTGATTATTTTGCAATAATTTCAGCTTTTACTTGCTTTTTTCTTCTTCAATCTCGATTACCGATTACTTGAAGAAAAGGTTTACAAAAATTTAAAACAAATTATATTGCCATGTGTTGGATGTTTATTGGTTTAAAAAATAGTTTACAAAATAAAAAAAAATTAAGAAAAAACACCCAGCCCCACCCATTCCCACCTGAACCCCAAACCCCACCCACCCCTCTCCCCTTCCCCCACTGGAAAACCCACCTTTTCCCATGAACTCTCTCGACAACCATCGATGGTCGCAGAAATCCACTCCCTTGCTCTCCCTTTCGACGCCCGTGGCTTCCCTCTTCCTCGCCGTGACCTAATCTCCGAAATCACCCAAAGCTTCAAATCCCCAATTTTCAACCCTTTTCCGACCTCTCCAATTACCTTCATACCCTAACCCTAACTCCTTCTGAAGCCTCCTTAATTTTCAAATCCCTCAAAAATTCCCCTCATCTATCTCTCAAATTCTTCCATTTTTGTCCCTCCAATTACCCCAATTTTTGCCATGACACCTTCTCTTACAATCGATTACTTCACATTCTCTCGATTGTTGCAACGTGTGGTGGTCTGATTGGGTTGAAAATTGCCGTGAAGTGGTGGCGAAAATAGAGAAAGATGGAGTTCATGGGAATATTTTGATTGTGAATATTTTAATTGGGGTTTTGGGTGGTTTTGTGGGTGGGGCTGGGAAGGGGGAGGTTGTCGGGGCTAGGGGCTGGGGGTTGGTTTTAATTTTATTTATTTATTTAATTTAATTTGGAAAATTTGCCAAGAATAACACGGCCTTTCTGCGTTCCAATAATGGAATGACCTTTGGATTATTTCAAAATGGAACGACCTTTGATACAAATATGCCAAAAAAGGAACAAAAAACCTGTAATGTTTAGGGTAAAAATTACCTTAGATCATGGATCAATGAGAGAGTGACATGTGTCACCTTAGGAAGCGTTCTAAAATAAACCAACCAGGACAAGACACGTGGCACCCCTCATTGGTAAAATGGTGGCCTTCAAGGGCCCAAATCCCGATGCCCGCCGTAAAAATGGCGCAACCTAATTACCTAGCTTAAAGTGGCCTAAGGAAGAGCACGAACTCCTATGCCCCTATAAATAGGGACATTTATTCCCTTTGGAGGGACACAATTACAATCACTTTCAGATACCATTCACCAATTATTACAACAACTTTTGCTCCTCAGATTTCGGGATCCGAGAAAGGCAACTTTTACTTTTCGCATTTAGTTTCCACTTTCCTCATCCGGTACTAATTGACCATCAAAGGCAGAACTCCAAACAACCGGAGCTTCCGTTTGTGCAGGTACAGAACATGCGACAAGCTAGTTTTAGTGTTGTAACTCTCCCATAGGACATCTCAGAATACCCTGAAACATTTGGCACTATCTGTGGAGAAAGTGTCTCTAAGATGGCATCTGACGAGCCTGTATCACATTCGATTAATGAAGAAGAGTCGAATGGAGCATAGTTCTATACAGACCAAGATACCGAGTCAGAGACGGAAGTCGATGTCCATACGGCCCATGATGGCTCACTCATTGTAAAATGCATCTGCTCAAGAGATAGAAAGGAGAGGAATGTTGAAGGTGTTGGGTTTCGTAGAGTCCGACTCTACGCAGAAGAGAAACACGCCCAAGACCCGCCCACTAATTAAGGCAACTAAGCATGCAATTACATATTAAACAACAATTAAGAGAGAGAAGGAAAAGACATTCATACCCATGGCGCGTGCTTCGCTCAATCCCGAGCTCTTACTTCAAAACCCGAAGCCCGCAAATGCGAAGGTCTCCAATGGCTCGTACCCACGAACCCGACCCGAACGGTCCTAGTCCCGAAGGTTAGTCGGGACTTGACTAATAAAAACTAGAGTTTTACGAACTTAAGGTTTTCTCACTTTTCTAAGGAGATGCCTTTTTAGTTCCACTCAAGTGTTCTTCCCAAATCCCAAAACTTGGGTATATATAGGGAAATGAACCTTGATTTCCCATTCTCAATCAATGTGGGAGATTTGCAATTTTCCCTCTTTTATTTTAATCAAAACAAAATAAAATTGCAATTAAATCAACAAGTTACAAAGTGGCATAAGGAGGAAGAGAGAAGGTAAGGACCACCCAAGGGGGGGGACCAAGTCACCTTGCTCCCCAAGCCAACCACCAACCCTTGGTCCCCTCCCCTTGACCGGCTGACCAAGCCACGTGGCAAGCTGGCAGCCTGCCTTTGTTGCCAAGGCAGCCATCTGGCGCCGAGCAACAAGGTTGGGCTGCTGGCCAGCCTCCCCACGCACATGCGCTGCACACAGCCAGCCCACGCATGCATCGCTGGGATGCTGTGCGTGATGCTGCTTGGTGTTGTTGCTATGCGAGGCCTAACACGCATAGCGAGCTGTGGCTTGGTGTGTGCCACTACCAAGCACCACGCATAGCCTAGCATGCCTAGCACGCTGCTATGCGATGCTGGTGCTTGGTGCGTGGCTGTGATGGCTGGGCGCCTAGCATGCTAGCAAGGCCTAGCCTTGCGATGCTTGCTTGGCTAGCGATGCGCTGGGTGTCTGGCCTAGCATGCTAGCAAGCACGCAAGGCATCATGCCTGCGATTCTTGCGGGCATTGCTAGCACGCTTGGGCTAGCACACAATGCATGCTAGGCTTGCGGCTAGCATTGCGATGCGCATGCTAGCTCGAGCTAGCCTAGCACTCGCATGGCTAGGCCAATGCGAGGCTACGGCCTAACTCGAACTTGTCACTTGTTGAATTTGCGACGCTCGGTATCAACGCTCTAAGCCCGATATCCGACGTCTTTGTTCGTAATACTCTGACGACTCATCACATCCTTCGGATTGATTCGTCGTCTCGGATCGGTTGTTTGATTGGGTTCGACAGGGGTTCAGTCAAGATTAAGTTGTAATATTAATTGTACATTAATATTACTGATCGGAAGTGGCCTCCACCTAGGCATTCTGATCACTTAACCTTACCGAAGAATTAGCTTTCTCATAATTCTGAACCCTCTACCGGCATAGTACACTTGTTGGAAGGACACCATTGTAGGGTTTCGTAGTGACTAGAAACTACGCGGAAGGAAACCCACCAAGACCCGCCCCTTAATTAAAGCAATTAAACAAGCATAATAAACTTAATCAAACAAGATTAAGAACGAGAATTATACCTTTGACGCGTGCTTCGCTCCCAAAGAGCTCTTACTTCAAAATCCCGAAAAGACGAGATCTCCGACGGATCGTACCCTCGACCCGACCCGAGCGTCCTAAGTCTTGAAGGTTAGTCAAGACCCGGACAAAATAACTATGAGTTTTACGAATCAAAGGTTTACTCTTTCTTAGAGTTGCCTTTTAATTCCACTCAAGGTTGTTTATTTCCCAATACCCAAGCTTGGTATTTATAGGGAAATGAACCCTTATGTTTCATTCCCCAACCAATGTGGGAGAATGTATAATTTGCTAATTAATTTATTTCTAAAATAAATTAATAAATAAATCTAATCACAATGCAACAAGTGTCAATGACAAGGGTTAAATCGGTCGCTACAATCTAACTCTCAATCAAACAATACTTATACGAACACCCTATAACCAAGTACAATGGAAAATAAAGGTTCGGTCCACGAGGAACGAGAGTAATTGCAAATCAATCTTAAACCTAAGCTAGTTCGAAATCAATGGAAAATGGTGTTCTAAAATACTACTAATAAGATGGAATAAATCAATAAACTAAGACACTAGGGAGAACGGGAATTCACCAAACCATCGGTAACTACGCAACAAGGAATCATAGAGACAAACGGGATATGCAAAGACTATATGTCTGATTAATATCGTGCGATAGGAAGACAACGGGCAATACTAAGCTTGGATTTCTCATGCACTTAACATTACTCGATACATAATCAAACCACATTCAATAATGAAATACTCCATTCACAATCTCTTGTTCAAATCAAGAATATCATGCAATTAAATTCAAGATTCTAGGTTAGCTACTCCAATTGTAGTGAATTAACATGCAATCGCATATAATCAATTTAATCACAATCCGTTTATCAAAATCAATCCTTAATTACGTAGATTACCTAGGCCGGGTTTCATCCCGAAACCCTAGCTAGGAAACTACTCACAATATTCATAATCACAGCAATAATAGATCCCATAAACATCATAGATCTAAACATAAATTCTGATTAAGGAATAATAAAACTAGATTAATAAACAAGAATGAATAATACCAATTGTATTGATGCTAATCAATGGAAAAGTTTAGAACTTTGATATCCGTCGTCAATGAATAATACAAAGAATCTTCACAAAT